GCAGTGTTTTTACAGCTGAAGAAAGTAAAACTATTCCTCTTGCAGCCATCCTCTCCCTCATGTTACGGCCTAGCCCCTGCTCTAGAATTAGCATCTTGCTCGTTTCCCCTCAAAAAATAAGTTTTTTTTCACAGATCTATGCTTTTTAACCAGATCTGCACAAAATCTCTTTCCAAATGTCAACGCTATATACTCCTTTTTTCAACAGATTGGTACATTTAGCTCTTACCTACCTGGGAAATTTTTCTGCCTTACCCCTCATCTGACACTGCTGGGTGTTGAGAGTAATGAAATGACAGTGCAACAGAGTTGGTCATTAACACACAAGGAAGCAGCTGTTAAATTCTCATCTGCAATGCCATGGTAAGTGGTCTGCAGCCGGCACACAGCTGTACTAGGAACAGTGTTCCTGGTGAAAAAAATAGGTAAGTGTTCATAGTAGCATCTTTGGAGTTGCCCCCCCCAAATCTAAGTGTGTATGTTCCAGGGAATACAGAGGTGTGATATGCAGAAAATAGAAGTACAAAGGGACATGCAGCAGATCTAGGAGAGCATCACCCTGGCTGGCCAAGCCAGCACCCTTGTTCAGTTGTTCATGACACCCTCCAGAAACCTCCTGATTGCATCCCCTCGCGCTGCCCTTCCCGCAGACATCAGGGCATTTAGTCTGCTGTAAGAGCCAGGGTTTGCAATTTCAGGATTCCTTGAGCTGCTTCAAGACCACTCTGCCCACTTCTGCACAACAAACAGGTGGTCTAGGACAAGTCCTCACCAGGGTGCTTCCCATACTGGTGTCTCCCCTGACCCAGACCAGCAAAGGTCTGTACCAGCCCGTCACCCCTTCCACAGATCTCCCCAGAGCCAAGCAGCTCCAGCCATATGAGCCATGCCTCTTGCTCCTTCTGGTCTTTCCCTGGCTGCCTGTGAGTGGGTTCAGGCACATGAGGTGGGCCCCTTTCAGCCTGTGGCATCCTCCACAAGGGCTGCTTCACTCCCATCACCCTGCCCCAGTACTTGCACCATTGACCTCTCTTCTCTTACTTAACCACAAGCTGTTATCACCATTCCTCAACAAACCTAGTTTAAAGCCCACAGAAGGGAGTCTCTGCACTCTCTCACTTACCACTTCTCAGCGTGAACGCTTGGTTCAGGCCCATCTGGCTCTGAACCCTTCCCTTAATGCAACTTGTTCCTTTCTTTGTCTATTACAGCACCATAGCAATTTTGTAAATTCAAACCCAAGGGTGGAGAAGCCACCTTTCTTCTGATGCCACAAGTCACAAGCTCCCAAGATGGGTGAAGCTGGAAATCTCCATCCACCAGCTGCCCAAGTAGGACCTCCAGCTGCCCCTTCTTACTCCCACTGCATGGTTTGGTCTTTTGCCTCTACAAGGTCTCTGCAAAGACCCTTATGACCTCTTGCTGTTCATCCTCCCCGATGCTACAAGTCTGCTCGCTTCCCCTGTAGCTCTTTCATGGGGCAACTCAGTGTCTTGCCCACAACAGAGCTCCTGCAGGCAAGGCCAGCCCTGCCGTGGCTCCAGGGAGAGGCAACAGGTACTCCCTGCAGCCCGAGACCTGGCAGCAGCATCCTTCTCCAGGAGCTTCCACCCATGCGCCAGGGCTGCTTCCCCCAGCTGGCACTGGGGACCAAGCCCTGCGGCGCACCCCCATCACTGCTGGGCAGTCCATGCTGCCCAGAGCAGAGTTTCGGGGCCCCTTTCGCACCCCTGCCGCACTCACCACTGAAGACTGTTGGCTGCGCGCCTGCTGACCAACCGAGAAGGGTGTCCCTACTGCAGGAGAGGAGCCTGACCCTCCCAGCAGCAGTCAGCTGGCATTTCTGTGCGGCCTCCACATTTGCCTGTCTGCTGTGTAGTGTTTCTAGCCTGGCCATACAATGAAGGCTCACAGCAATCTAGAGCTTTTATAAAAACATGGTATTAATTTTTCAAAGACTGCATGTCTTGGGAGCAGACTGCTAGAAAACAGTGCTGCTGCACCTCAACACCTATACAAAAGTACCAGCGTATTGTGGTAGAACTGTGGTGGAACTGCTGCCCTACTCCTACTACCTAGGAGTACTAAAATTACTGAATTTTTGCTATTTCAAGACTACTGATTTGCACTTCAAAGAACTGAGTCACAACTTATTAGAATAAACTTTTATTTACTGCTCTCAGGATCCTTATTTTATACTTCAAAGTATGCAACAAAACCTGCTACATTCAAATCTATACAGATTTACTGATATATCATTCATGTTTTACAAAACTGCATATAGATTTGGGAAATTTGTATAAGTTACCTTTATTTACATGTAATATTCTCAGCCCTAATGACCTAGTCAAAGAATAAAACAAAGTGGGATTTTAAATATCCCTTAAGACCCATTACATTTGTTACATAATTTACATATCTGTAGAGAGAGGTGTGCTACACTTCCTTCCTGCATATTTATGAAGACTGTGACTAAACGGAAATTTGCTGGCCAAAGCTAGGTACTGTCATTTCCTCAGATCATATTGGTAATAAAATGTTAAAATTAAAGCAAGCCAGGTATATAAACCAATTTTTTTCTTTTAGAACCAACTTTGCTAATGATTTTAACCAGCACTTGCTCAAAAAAAGTGTTAACATTAATACAAAAAATACCCACATTTACAAAAGAAATCAAACTAATATTTATATGACAAGTTGATCTACAATAAATTGCACATTGTTGGTTATGACTTTGGTTATACTGTATTAACAAATTTGGTTTCTAGACTAACAGTGGAGAAAAAAATATAAAAATGCAGCTATAGAAACTAGCATAACCTGTAAACATATTACAGAACCAAATTCTGCACCTGGTTACATGGGCATAACCTCCATGCAGTTCAGAGAAGTTTGCACATATCAGACTGCTGAATTTGGCCCAGAAAACCCTGTAAACATGTTCTTTATTGTTATGTAGTGCAATACTGCAAGAATGGATGATAAAGGCCTCTAACTACCAGTTAACTAATACTGATATCCATACAAATTTCACTTTAAGATTAATTCGTTGCAAAAGGCTGAATTGAAAATATTATCCATTGTTGAACTACAAATTTATCAAAAAAAGTGATGAATACTCAATAAACCAACGACAGTATACAAATTCAGACAAAAAATGGATATAATTTCTCATTACAATTCAGAATTACGCTGCTTGTCTGTTTTATATAAAAATCCTGGTTTCATTATACTGTTTTAACAAAAGCAAGTTAGAAACAGAAATCTAACAAATAAAATGTGTCAGCAAGTCAACGTTCTGCAAACTGATGGTCCTGGTTTTGTTACACTGTTTTAACAAAAACAAGTTAGAAACAGAAATCTAACAAATAACAGCAAGTCAATGTTCTGCAGACTGATGGCTGATAATGCAAACAAATGCTTTCCAATGTTTTACCTAATATGCTAAATTATAAGGTGCTTTGGGCAGATCTGTAGCAAACGGCCTGAAGCAGCACAGATTATGATATTGCATTACATGAAGCTTGATGGTTTTGTTTTAAAAAGTTTAACAATTTCAGTTGTTCCTCTTAAAGCAGCAATTCAAATTTACACCCTCTGCAAAGATTTCTTCACAGTTTTACTTCAGCAGTTTACTGCAGAACAGTCTGTCAAATACTGTAGAAGAGGCAACTGCTTAAAAACATTTTAGTTTTTTACTTACTTGGCACTGGCCCATCCAATGTGTGTATTATAGTTATTATTCCACAAAACTGTGGAAATGGCAAAATGCATTTTCAAAAGTTAGTGAATTTTTAATGCTTACTTATTTTAAAAGTGATACTATGAAGATTCAATAGCCATGTGACTAAATACAATGGTAGTCCCTGGAAAAATTCAAATTTGTTTGTAAACCCTTAAAATGAAATTGCAGCACTGGACTGATATAATTTATGTCTGTGTCTTAATCAACCCCATCAAACCCCTGAGTATTTTCAATTGCTAGAAGAAGTTTATCCCATAAATCTTCAAACGAGTCATATGGAGGCAAATCCAAGCGATTAAAGCTGAAAAACAGATGAAAACTCTTAAGTATTTTATCACTCTTACTAAAGGTCATAATTTACTTAAATTAAATACTCACCAGGTATGAGCTCTCGGCAGTTTTTCAGGGGTACCCCACTGTTCAACTGTAAACAACTGTGGTCCATTTGAACCTGCAGAAAAGAATACATCAATTTTCACCCCATTGAGGTTCTTTTATAATTAGAAATTCAAATTATGAAATATTTTGGTTTTTTATAATCCTATTCTGATATTAATAAGACCTATCTATATGAATCTGTATTTACAGTCTATACTCAGTAATGGTCAATAATCCCAATTCACTTGCATTTTCAATTATTTCTTGCTATATCTTAATTTCAAGAGACTTTTACACTTTAAGCTCAGAAGTCTAAGACCTAAATGCATATGTGTAGTAGTTGGCATTGAAAATTTTATGCAGAAGACAGTTTTATACTGTGTAAGTTTTGCATGTACAAATTTAGACATGTTTATCACAATGTGCCAAGTTATATAACCTGGCAGAAAGTATTCAATGTCCACCTTTACCTATGCAACAACAAAGTAGAGTGAGAACTTTTTGAAACACAGTGACCATATGTGTACTCCAGGGATGTACGCATGCACCTGAGAGAACTTTTTTGGCTAGCAAGTGCAACTCCAGCTATGCCTGTGCCTTCAGCAACCGTCCTACAGCATGTCATATCTGAAAGTTTCTTGGGCCTCTCAACTCCTGCCAAGTGGATGCAAAGGGCATTTTGTAACCATTTCCTTAAGCTGTTGAAAGCATTTGTGTATGTCTGGAGAAGACTGTAGGTTAAAAAAAAAAAAAAAAATCACTATCTTGTCAGAGAACAGGAGATTATCTCTGATGGTGGGCGTCCTCTGACTATCCTACAAGGATACCATCAATACAGTTAGAGAATTGTATTCCAAGGCAGATGGCTACCCAAGAATGAGTAGCCTTCTGCTTCTGAAATGGAAGATGTGAAACATGTTTCAGATTAAAGATGAGCAGCAGTAATGAGAACAGGTTGATCTATGAATACAGCTGAGAGATAAGTGCTTGTGTAGAGTACCTCTAGACCTATGAAATGAATTTGGTTTTATAATGCAGACACCTTCCCTTTTTTTAATGACTCCTCCAAAATGTGGGTTTTTTTACTATATGTTATAATTATCAATTAAAAAGAGTTAATTTGTGGTTTTATGGAGACATGAAAGAAAGAAATGTGTACATATTCATAATAAAATGAAATGATATTATGATAACATGTAATAATGCACATTGTAGAAGTGGATTTGGAAGAAGATGTTAGCCAACTTATGTAGAGAAAAACAAACAAACAAACCAAGACAATTCATCCCAAAGACAAAAATAAAACAAGAGAAGGAGAAAACCCTTTCACAACTACTAACAGACACAAAAAGGTAGGAAATACCAATCAATGCACAGAAACTATGCTTCATACAAGTCTAGCGAATGAACTAGACAGATGAGAGCAGACACTGATCACTTCATCCTAAAATATTATCAGCGAGACAGTTATGTCAGTAGTTGTGGAAACACTCCCAGCTCCTCCTCTTTACGTTCTTCTTTGGGTTACATGTTTCTTCAACACAGAAGGCTGGTTAGAGAAGGTAATTAGTAAGAATGCCTGAAATAAGGATGAAGCAGGGAAGCAGCTCAATGACTGACGGTACATTCTACCATGTGACAAGATGATAAAACTCCCTTTTAATAGCTAGGTAAGAATAAGTCTTTATTTTAGCTATGCAACTAATTAACTAGAGGCTGACAAAGCAGGGTGGAGGGGAGACAAGAAATACCAGAAAGCCACATCTGTTCAGTGTCCTAGTTCTCAAACTTGGGTGGATTTGTCCCCGGACACCAAACACTCCCTTTTTATGAGAAGAAATGCCTCTCTGGGCCACAAGAGGGAGAACTCCCACTAGAAAGCCAGCTCTAGGACTGCAGCCCGAAGGTGGGAAGGGAACAACCACAGGGGCAGCCCGGTAGCAGCAAAAAGCCACGTACCAACACAAAGCACTGAAGAACCACCTACAGTTCTTCAAATACAAGCAGGTACTGGAAATGTGATTGTGATCATTACTGGGGTTTAGTGAGGATGGCATGCCGGCCACAGTAAAGTAGAAATAACTGTAAGAGAAAGAAACAAAGCACTGTACAAGACAACTGCTAATTGTTTTTTTCATTAATGAGTGAATAGAACTACAGAAACTGGGACTTGGCCAGAAGACTGCCTAATCCCTGGGCAGAAGGGAGCCAAAAGCTTCAACAGTTTCTTTCCCTGTATCATTTCTTAGTTCTATCTCTGGTAGTGTTTTTAGACAAATAGACAAAAATCTGGAGGCAGCAGAATTCTGATCGGGTTCCACTGCAATGAGCATGTGCTGTAACTCCAATAGTACCAAGGTTCAGGTGCAACAGCAGACACCATGGTTCATGTCCGCTGAGGGCACTGTCCCTTCCCATTGGAACTCAACTCATTCCATTGATGGAACGGAAAAAATAACCGAGTATTTACGATGAAAATGAAGAGAGGGAGAAATGGGGACACATGGTGGGTGGTATTTATTCACAATTCTAGTGTTTTATAAACAAATTACTGTCTTGTTTACAAAGAAGGAAATGTTTATTCAAATACACAAGTTAGGCTATTCAGTCATTTGCATATGATCTCAAGCCCTTTTAGCCTTAATAAAGTAGTCTAGCAGAAAACATAATAGCTGATGGCAGCTGAAAACAGACTTCCCATAAGCAAAACCACCCTTCCCATACCCCCAACCCTTTGTGGGCTGTTCTATCTGCTTGCCCGCGGTCTTTCCACAGTGGGTTTTGTGGCTTTGGTATGAAGGTCTGCTGCCCGCTGTGATCTGCTTGTTTCAGTCTCTGCATTGTAGGTTCACTACTTTTCTTTTGGCATTATGTTTAACTCGTATCATTTCAGTGGTCCTCTTTAAAGTATATCCTTACAAAAAATTGTGTCTCTGCAACTGTGGCCTGTGAGCAGATAAAAGCAGTTGGGGAACTTATAAGAATCTGAAGTTAACTGCTGGTGCCACCGTCTTTGTAATCAGATCTTAGGTAACTCAGAATTTTCTTCAAGCTCAATCACGTGTTAAACAGGGATTTTTGCAGCTCTTTAGAACTTCTAAATCCACATTCATTTGAGAGTCCTATACATTTAAAACTTCCAAAAACAGAATTAAAATGAAGCGTTTATAGAACATGGGAAACGTGTGATCTAAGTGACTCTTCTCTAACTTTGCTTCTTATAACTGCCAGTATATAGTCATTTTTAAAGCAAAATTTGAAAAATAATGTGCCTATGTTTGAAGTCAAACATCATGTATCGTGTGCTGTTACTTAATTGTGAACACAATCGTAAGTACTCACCATACAGCTCAGCAAACCCATTCATAGGTACGCGTGATGTGCCAGTAACAAATTGAAGTAATCTTATTCTCTTTTCAGAGTCCATCATTAAGACTGCCTATGTATGATAATGATTACAATTAAAGATTTATTTTTAAATTAAGGTTTTAAGCTAGCAGATTTATGTAACATAGTTTCTATCTCTAAATCATTACCCTTTTTATATATATATATGCATTTTTTTTTAGTGACACACATAGTCACTTCTCTGCCTATTGCTAAAAGCTATGGAGTCAACAATTTTTCGATGGCACTGTAACAAGAGTATGGCTACTGGCTTAGCAGGCTGTTAAAATACTTCCCTTTAAGATTTGGCCCCTACTTTCTTTGAAGTTTCCTGATGTTATGAACTAGCAGCCAAATTCCTGTAATTTATTAAACAGAAGAGTTTAACACCTCTTCAGTGTAACCATGCCAGAAAAACCTACACAGAAATATTTTTAAACCCAGGCAGACATGGATTTTTTTATAAAAGCAAGTATCAGTAGCGTATTTACATTCTTACCATGCATCTCATCTTTAGTTTTCTTACTGTCTTTTCTCAGGAGTTTTAATGGCCAAATATTTACCTACCTATTGATGAATCACACGATAATCTAGCATAGCTGAAAGGCAGCAGCTTTTGAAGAGGTTTTAAGTAAAAAAAAAATTAAAAAATAGAAGAACTTCATGATACCTTCCAGAACCACTGTATTACTTGATGGTTTATGTTGTAGCCATTTTTGTATTTTGTATGCAGTTTCCAGTCAGCCACATCCACATCTCCCAGTCCACACATTAATAACTACACAGATCAAAAACAAACAACCACCAAAGTTTAAGTCAGTAACATTAAGTTTCAACATAATTTGTTTTCTTTTCCATGACACACTTACCTCTAGCTCATTTTCATCAAAAATTTTAATCAGATCCTGCGGTATTAGTTCAAAAAAGCCCTAAAAAGATGAGGGAAGTTTTTAGAAATCAAGTCAACGTTATTTAAGCATTTTTGTTCACTGAGAATGATATTCAGATGCTTTAGTAAACAGAGCCAAAGCAATACATCAAATACAGATGTTTGGACACCAGCAGTCCCCAGTTTGGTGATAGTACTTTTCATTCTGACTTATCTCACATCTTTATTGTGCTACACTGAAAGGTGAATATATAAGCCTGAATATCATATATATAATATCATTTATGCAAATAAGGATAAACCAGCTAGTTTAATTTAATTCTATTAGTTTGATTTAACTTTCATTTCTGCAAAGTTCATTAAATAGTTTGCACTACAGCTAAAGCTGTCAGCCAGGATTGAGAAATAAGCAAATTTTTCAGTATGAATTAAACATCTCAGTAAAAATATACCAAAAAGATTTTTAAGTCTGAAATAATTCAAAGCTGACGCTACAAACAGCATCACTGCCTTTTTTATACCTGTAACAACATTATCTGTGGGTCTTCAGGATGTCCAAAAAAGCTTGTCTTAAGATTAGATGCAACAAATTCTGAGAAGAATTTCTTTTGTAATTAAAACTATACCTCTTTAAAGGCTGCCATTTGTTTCTGTACTCTGCTCACAAATCTCCACTGAATTACAAGACTGTAAAAAAACAAAACAAAAACATTTAAAATAAAAGCAATTTATATACAAAGCAACAACTTCCTTTTGTTAATACAACTAACACACAGCCCCTATTACTAGAGGGGCAATCCAGCGAGATACATTGTACATAGTGACCACTACTTACTGAATGTAGTCTCTCTTGTTCTTGTTGGTGACAACTATTTCTGATCCACCACTCTTCAGTTCATGTTGATGGGTCTAAATGCAATACATAGAATAGGTAGGTCTTAGATACACACGTAACAGAATTCATATGTTAATATTAGGTAATTTAGTTAACTCTTGAAGACTGCAGAATTTGAAAACTATGAGAAATAGAACCAGTTTCACAGGTCACCTGAATAAATAGAATTTGGTTGATTGTTTTTAAAAGATGTATTATTCAGGGATGCCAGACTGCAATGGGGCAACCTTCATTTTTTCTGACCTGCTACAATAAGTTACCTAAGTTTGCACACAAGTTCTCAGTGATGTGGACTTCACTAACTGCATATTCAATGACCCAGTCTTTTTTCCAAATCTCAAGGAAAAACACTTACAGAACAATTTCAGCAATGGTCCCGGTACAGAAGTGAATCAATACGCATATCTGTTACATAGTTATTTATTCTACTAGAACCTCAGTTGACAAATATGTGATTTTCAGTTCATTACGGATATACATTTTCACACTCCTACTTAGGATCACTTTAGTTACCCAAGACCACAAAGGCTACTATCGTACCTAAATCTAGTTGGCATCAGTAATTTGGAATTTTTGTTCAAGACCTGTGATATTTCTACATGACTTATCGTTGATAGCTTTCTACACAACAACAGACTTGTTTATTCCATAGTTTTCTAGTACATCTTAGAGAAAAAAACCCTATTATTATCTCCCAGTGAAATTTATGATTCCAACCATTTCTAAAAGAGGTTATCCTTTCCAGCCAATCACATAAAACCAACCTCTACTCCAGATTAAGTAATGGGACTATGGATATCTCAGTCTCAGTTGCATTCATAGCAACAGCTACATTTCAATACAAGTATTATTTAAGAAAAAAGCACGAGCTATTTTTTAAAGCTCTGCTTATTTCCAAGTCCTTTATCACATCAGCCAGGCTCATAGAGCATTGCATGAGCATGTGCCAGCTAAAAGAAGCAGCTGAGTGAACAAACCAACATGACTGTGAATGAAGGGTTTCAGATAAAATCAGCTAATTTCACAGGTCAAATGTACATAAACATACTAACCTGACCAAAAAGTTCTTCATCAACTATAAATCTGAGGTCCAGTTCTGTTGGATCATTTTCAAGAATCCATCTTAGAGAATTGTAATATTCACTATCCTAAGAGAGAATGGCAAAATAGTAAATACAAAATAGAGTAGCTACCCTTTAAGCCATAAGAGGCTCCATTACAGCCCAGTGAATGCTGCTACCTAGGATAATCCTGTATTGGATACAGAGACTCTGCAATTGTACAAAGCTACAAAGACCCTTAAAGATGTATGAAACCTGAAGACTCAGCAATCTCAGGACTAAAAATCTCTCACGCAGCAAAATCATGATAAAATGCCACAGCATTATCTGAAGTAATGTATTTTGGACTCTTCTCTGTCTCTCGTTCTGTATTTATCTTCCCTGTATCGTTAGGCATTACTACAAAGAGCCTTAGGAAATGAAAATTAAGATAAAGCCAATTGCATTCTGGGCTGCATCAAAAGAAGTGTGGCCAGCAGGTCGAGGGAGGCGATTCTCCCCCCTACTCTGTTCTCATGAGACCCCACCTGGAGTACTGCGTTCAGCTCTGGGGTCCCCAGCATAAGAGAAAGACATGGACCTGCTCGAGCAGGTCCAGAGGAGGCCCATGAAGATGATCAGGGGGCTGGAGCACCTCCCCTATGAGGACAGGCTGAGAGAGTTGGGGTTGTTCAGCCTGGAGAAGAGGAGGCACTGGGGAGACCTTTTAGCCACCTTCCAGTC